CCCCCAAAAATTGTGATGACTTTTTACACCTGTTGTATATACATAGAAGCTTGTGTTACTCTGTTTTGTCTCAAGCCCAACATAATTTGTTATTTTTTACCTCCTAAGACCCAGTCAGACCAGAAGCACAACTTTTTAAATGTTCATTCCCAGACACCAAAAACCGAATGCTTAGTTATTAACGAATGCCTGTTTTTCCAAGGATCTCTACCATCTGTCAAATACAAGATTTATATATGGGATAGCAACTCAGGAGTCATGCCCTTAAACTTCTGAGTTCAAGAGGGTTTATAACTAGATAACCCTGGAGGTTATCAGGGACATTTTCAGTTGCATATTTGTCTCAGGATCTGAGCCAGGAGCTGAGAGAGCAGGGGCAGGAAGGCTGTCAGGAGAGGAGCCGTACAGGCCGAAGACAGACCCAGCCTGAGGGAAGCTGGTGAGCAGAAGAGAGGCAAGGCCAGGTCCAGGCAGACAAGGACACTTCTGCAAGGCCGCAGCTGCTGTCCCAAAGGAAGGTCAGATGAGTATGCTCTGTTCATTAGTCGCACTGCAGCCCCTTCTCTCTCTCACCTTGTATTTTTTCTTACATAATTTCTTAAATTGAGATGTAACTCATCTGTAAAATTAAAGGCTGCAGTTCAGGGTTTCTAGTGTATTCGTAAAGTCATGCAAACATCACCACCATCTACTTCCAGAGCATTTTCATTTCCCCAAAAAAGAAGCCCCAAACCCATTAGCAATCACTCCCCAACTACCCCCTCCCTCCGACCCATGGTAACCACAAACCTACTTTCTATCTGTGGATTTGCCTTTTCTAGACATTTCATATAAAAGGAATCATATAGTATGCAGCCTCTTCTGTCTGGCTCCTTTCACTTAGCATAATGTGGTCAAGGTTAATCCATATTGTAGCATGTATCGAGATTTTATCACTTTTTACGGCTGAGTAATATTCCATTGTATGGGCCTAGCATATTTGTTTATCCATTCATCCGTTGATGGACATTTGGGTTGTTTTCACTTTTGGCTATTTTAAATAATGTTGCTATGAACATTTGTGTACAAGTTTTTGTGCAACATATGTTTTCAGTTTTCTTGGATATGTACCTGGGAGTGGAATTGCTGGGTCATATGATAACTCTGTGTTTAAGGAACTGCCAGACTGTTTTCTAGATGCATCATTTTTTTATTTCCACCAGCAATGCTTGAGGGTTCCAAATGTTCCACATTCTCATTAACACTTGTTATTGTCTATCACTTACTAGGATTATAGCCATCCTAGTGGGTATAAAGTGGTGTATTTCTCTGATGCCTAAGATGTTGAGCATCTTTGCATGAGCTTGTTGGCCATTTGTATGTCTTCTTTGGAGAAATGTCTATTCAGAATTTTTGCCCATTTTTTAATTGAGTTATTTGTCTTTTTATTGTTAGTATATTCATTTCTAAATTTTATTTCCAAAAAAGTTATTCATATACATAGTATTACAAAGCTTAATCCAAAGACCCATAACCCCATCCTCCATTCTCATTCCCCATCCGCAACTACTATTTTCAACTTGATTAGCTGTTTCTTTATTTTTTTTCCATTTTTAAAAATTGAAGTATAGTCAGTTTACTATGTTGTGTCAGTTTCTGGTATAGAACATGTTTCAGTCATATATATACATACATATTTTCCTTTTCATATTATTTTTCATTATAGGGTACTACAAGATATTGAATATAGTTCCCTGTGCTACACAGTAGAAACTTGTTTATCTATTTTATATGTAGTAGTTAGTACCTCCAAATCTCAAACTCCCAATTTATCCCTTCCTACTCCCTTCCCTCTGTGGTAACCATAAGTTTGTTTTCTGTGTCTGTCCATCTGTTTCTGTTTTGCAGATAAGTTCTTTTTTTTTTTTTTTTTTTTAGATTCCACATATAAGTGATATCATATGATATTTTTCTCTTTCTGGCTTACTTCACTTAGAATGATGATCTCCAGATCCATCCATGTTGCTGCAAATGGCATTATTTTATTTTTTATGGCTGAGTAGCATTCCGTTGTATAAATATATCACAACTTCTTTATTCAATCATCTGTGGATGGCCATGTAGGTTGTTTCCATGTCTTGGCTGTTGTAAATAGTGCTGCTATGAACATTAGGGTGCACGTATCTTTTCAAATTAGAGTTCCCTCTAGATGTATGCACAGGAGTGGGATTGCTGGATCATATGGTAAATCTGTTTTTAGTAGTGGAGGAATATCAATGCTGTTTTCCATAATGACTGTAGCAAACTACAATCCCACCAACAGTGTAGGAAAGTTCCCTTTTCTCCACACCCTCTCCAGCATTTATTGTTTGTGGACTTTTTAATGATGGCCATTCTGCCTAGAGGCCATTTGTATGTCTTCATTGGAGAATTGCTTGTTTAGGTCTTCTGCCCATTTTTGGATTGGGTTGTTTGGGGTTTTTTGTTGTTGTTGTTGTTATTAAATTGTATAAGCTGTTTATATATTCTGGAAATTAAGCTCTTGTCAGTTGCATCATTTGCACATATTTTCTCCCATTGTGTAGGTTGTCTTTTTGTTTTGTTTATGGCTTCCTTTGCTGTGCAAAAGCTTTTAAATTTAATTGGGCTCCATGTGTTTATATTTTGTTTTTATTTCTATTGCCTGGGTAGACTGCCCTAGGAGAACATTGCTAAGATTTATGTCAGAAAATGTTTTGCCTGTGATTTCTTCTAGGAGATTTATAGTGTCTTGTCCTATGTTTAAGTCTTTAAGCTATTTTGAGTTTGTTTTTGTGTATGATATGAGTGAGTGTTGTAGCTCCATTGATTTACATGTGGCTGTCCAGCTTTCCCAACACCACTTGCTAAAGAGACTGTCTTTTCTCCATTGTATATTCTTGCCCCTTTTGTCGAAGATCAATTGGCTGTAGGTGTGTGGGCTTACTTCTGGGCTCTCAATTCTGTTCCATTGATCCATATGTCTCTTTTTGTGCCAATATCACGCTGTTTTGATTACTGTGGCTCTGTAGTATTATCTGAAATCTGGGAGGGTTGTTCCTCCAGCTTCATTCTTTTTCTTCAGTATTGCGTTGGCAATTCTGGGTCTTTTGTGATTCCATATAAATTTTTAGGATTATTTGTTCTAGTTCTGTGAAAATGTCCTGGGTAGTTTGATAGGGATTACATTAAATCTGTAAATTGATTTGGGTAGTATGGCCATTTTAACAATATTATTTCTTCCAATCCAAGAGATTAACTGTTTCTTTAAATGTTTACTTCCATATTTCCAAGTAGCGTGCTTATACTTTAATTTCTTGGATTTTTCAATTCACTTATTTGACTTCCTACTGGATCTAATATGTAAAAGTGTGACTTGCTCTTTGATTATGTTCCTCAGGTGGAGAAAACTGGCTTGCAATGAGAAGGAATGAAGCAGCAGGGTATATATGACTTAGACTTAGAGCATGGACTCTAGGGCTAGATTGTCTAGGATTGAATCCTAGCTTTGCCATTTACTGGCAGTAAGACCCTGCACAGGTTAGTTGACCTCTCTGTGCCTCAACTTCCTTATCTGTAAAGTGGGGATAATAATAGTACCACTTTATAGTGTTGTTGTAAGAATTAAATGAACTTATTTATGTAAAGTATTTAGATGGTGTAGGTTCTAAGTGCTCAATATGTATTAGTTATTATTATTATTAACCTGCCCCTCACAATTATATGCATCCCCCTTTCCCATTCTCCCTATATAGTTGCATTACAGTTTCTGCTATATCAGCGTGTAGTATTTGTATTATTATGACTGTAACTAATATCTACAACTGAGCCATATAATATATTATGGTTACATTTCCTTTCTTGTGTGAATTGACTTTCTCTGAAGTTAATAAATATCTCAGGTTTACATTTGTTACTTTTCTATGAACCTATTACCAGTTCATTCCCAATCTCTGCTAAAAGTTTATAAATCTCTAAAAACGTTTCATCAGGAGACTTCATTTCATCGGGGGACTCCAAGACTTATTTTGAAGTCTTTTCTTTGGAGCTGGTCAGAGAATTATCTAGTCTCCTTCCTAGAGGATATGAGGCTGCCAGGGTTCTGGAAGATGAGTGGAAGGAGGTGGATGGCAATCTCACCAATCACTGTGTAGACTTTTACCTAATCCTTCAGTGTTCAACATGGCAGCCCCATCCGTGTCTGTACCTGATGTCCATCTATCCAGAGTCCCTCTGGTTGGACCTCAAGAGGTTAAAACTCTAGGTTTCTGCTCTAGTTGGAGAGGGACAGTCACCTGGATACACAGAGTGGAAATCATCAGGGGACCTAATTACCACTCAAACATACTTCCATCCAGGGCTTCTGTTCATCTCCATTTTAAAAAGTATGGTCCATCAACTCCTGAACTCTTTTGAGTTTCTGTGGTGCATTAGTCTTGCTTCTGGGCTTCTTAGGTTTGAAGAATCAATTTACCATCCAAACCAGGACACTTTTGAGAGTGTAAGAGGACGCCGTTAATAATTATACCAGCACAGCAGTTGTAAAATGTACTAACCTGGGCAAATAAGGACTATGACCCTAGGATTCATCCAACTGCTTTCTAACCTAGCTTTTGTTGTCTTTGCCTTGTTAGTTTTTTTCTGATAACTTAATGCTTTTTTTTTTTAATCTCTTTACTGTCGCTTTTGTGGGGTTTCAGGAGAGAGCAGTAGTGTGTTTAATAATGCCAGCTTTCAGGAAGCAACTTCTCCATTGATGGAGAAAGTAGGTGTGGAAGACAAATGTGACTATAAAAGGAGCTCTTTGGTTTTAAGCAACAGAAACGTAGTCTGAACTTGCTTAAACAGAGAGAACTTTTAGCCAACCAAATCCAAAGAAGGGCTGAACAACCATGTGGTGAGAAAAGCTGGGATGGAGCTGGTCGTCACTGACTGTTAGAATCAGGAACCAAGATGCTTTCTCTCGTCTCTGCTTCTCCTGCATTTCGCCTTCATTCTCTCACACTGGAGTCCAGCTTTCTTCCTCTGACAGCAGCATGACCACTGACAGTGGCCCATTGTGGCATCTTATATCCAACACTCGGATATTCCCTCTCTGGCCCCAAATGCACAAATTCCAAGGAAGAAACTTCACATTACAGCTGAAATCAGATGCCCATCCCCAGGTCAACTACCTTGGCTGGGCCATGTGCGGTGGGTGGGGTTGTTGGTTTGTGTGAATTCGTGTTCAGCATCCACCATAGCCATTAGTGAGAGGAGAGGCTGGGGTCAGTGCCTGGGAGTAGAGGATAGCCCCATAGATTTCTTCAGTGGTAAGTTGGCCAAATCCAAATGACATTAGTGATGGATTTGAGAAACAAAACTGTAAAGATTAGGACTCAGTACCTTACTGTTTCTGCTAAAATATAAATGTTCGACTTTTTCTAGTGATAACGTAAGTGACAGTTTGGAAGCCTTAACATTTAAAACTGCTCTCTTTCTGTCTCTCCTGCATAATCATTTACATAGATCTACATATGTTAGAACTTGGTTTGTCTTCCTCTTCTGCATCAGACTTACGCTGTTTTATTTTCTGTAGGCTAGCTTTCTCCTTACCCTTCTTAATCTGATCTAAAATGGCCAAAAAGAAGGTACTGACACTTATACACTGGATTTTGGAATGTTAGAGGTGGAAGAGGCTTTAAAGACTATTTCATTTATATTTCACAAAAATTTCCCTTGGCTTATTAACCTCATGAGTTGCTCCTTTGACAAAAGGTCTCCAGGGTCAAAAAAGTATGGAAAATGCTGCATACAACTCTATTCCCCTCTTGGGGATTAGGTACATGTTAGCCTGTTAAGGAGTCTGAGAAGTCCTGCAGCAAAGAAAACAGTTTCTTCAACATTTCAACCATTTACCAAGGAACCCCTTTTTCATTATAAGCATGCCAAGTAATAATGTTCCATGGAACAGACTTTGGGAAATAATCCAACCGTCTTATTTTATGAATGAGGAAAAACAGTTCACAGGGAGACTGTGGTTATGATTTTCCAAGGCTAGTGCCAGGAAGAATTAGCACTCATTTCCAGTTGTTTCTGGTAACTTACATTGGCCAGCTGCTAACAGAAATATAGTATCTCCCCTCTCTTCCTCTTAATTCACTCATCCACCTGGAACAAGGTTCACCTTATTATCTAGGCTGTCTCAGGTAACACCATGAAGGGGTACAGGATGAGCACCAGCTTTAGAAATAGTTACATCAGCTCCCTTTCTCTAAATCAGACCCAACGTACTTTTATTATAATAAATTATTGCAGCAAATATTTTGGAGTTCCCTGTTTATCTCCTGGAATGAAATTTATAGCTCCTTAACCCACATGTGTATTTTAAAAGTCAATATAATGTCCCAACTATACTATAAAGAAGGAATAAGAGGATAGTAGTTTATAACAAAATAACATATTTCAATATATAAATATCTAGGCCAACTTAAAGATACAATAAACTATTAAGTTGCTCTTATATGTAGAATCATCATGAATGTAACAGCTACAAATACAAATTGATAACAAATATCATGTACTGGCAACTCAGAAGTACATTGAGTAGCCTGGTTTTCCAAAATGGTAAACTGCTCTCTGTAAAATTCCGAACAAATCAAAACATTATCTTCTCTCAATTCATATGGCACTTGCATTCCTGAAAATTTCAGTATATATTAAAACCTGGCAAAAAATACTTTTATTGAGCATTTATTATATGATAGCAGTTAAATCTAAGTGCTTTAAATCAATTACTTTATTTAGTCTTCATAATGATCCTATTTAGGTATGATTAATATCCCCATTTTACACTTGAGGAAACTAAGAGAGAGAAGATAAGTAACCTGTCTGACAGCCAGTAAGCGGCAGAGCAGTAGATGAGCCTAGGCAGTGCAGCTCCAGAACTTGCGCTCGCAGGTTCAGTGACTGTCACCCGAAGGACTCAGAAACTGAGTCACTTAGGCTTTTTCTTCGTAGACCATGGCCAACAGAAGGCTGCTTCAGAAACTGAAAACCTGATACCTAAAAGGAAAGCAGGTCGGACTCCCTCCTTACAGCTATTTACTGCCTACCCTGGAGAACGATGGAGCAGTGAGAGGAGAATGTTTGGGGTGAGCCTTGGACCCAGATGCCCTGACCTCCCAGGACTTGCCAGTGTGAACTGTTCAGAGAGTAGAGACAGGAAACAACCCTGGCTTCGTTTTCACTCTTCCTCATCTTCCACTACCCCTTGCCAAAAGCACAGGCTAACCAGAGACTGTGCCATCCAGCAACTTCCCATACTGGACACAGATCTGAAAAAGCAGGGAGCTGAGAAAAACTGGAGACCAAATGCCTCTGAGGCTGCCAGGCTGGGAAGTGAGTCCTGGGACTTTCCTCCTGCCCTGCAGCCTGATCGGGAATCTATTCTTCCTCTGAGAATGACTGTGATAATAATCAAATGGGACTGTGGGTTACAAAACCCGCTTATCTTTGCTCCATCCTCTGAAAGGGAGGAGTTCCGAATAAGCTTTCCCCTCCTTAGGGTGACTTGAAATGACAGTCTGAATTGATGCTCTGGGGTCTGTTCCAGCTCATTGCTCATCACCCCACGGTTTGTTTACTCTTAGCAAATCTGCCCCAAGTAAATTTCATGTTCTCTGAGGTTTAATGTTTAATAATAATATAACTAATGTGTATTAAGGGCTTACTATATGTATGCTAGGCAAAGGACTGGATTCTTTACATGCATTGTCTCATTGAATCCTCCTAACAACCTTGTGAAACAAATATGCTTCTAACTATTTACAAGTAAGAAAATTGAGGTCCAGAAAGTTTACATTTAGATGCCCAGGTCAAACAGATGAGAGCCGAGTGCAAACCCAGGCTGCTGTATTGCCAGGTTGGTTGTTCTGAAGAAACTAATTAGAACTGCCTGAGATTACACTTGAGGAAGAGGTAAATTGTAAACGGTTGCAAGTATATTAGGACTTTTGGGTTCCTAGTACTTAACTACTGAACTTTCTACTACTTTTAATTCTCCTGGTCAACAGGTATTCGGTTACTCAGGGTGGTGAGGGAGCAACCAGAGAGATCTTTCTGAAAAGTAAATCTGCTGAAGTCCAGTACCCAGCTAACATTTTTTCAATGGTTCCCTGTGGTCCATAAGGTAAAAACCGGGCTCCTAATATGACATAACAAGGCCCTTTATAATCTGGGCCCCACTTGACTTTTATAACTATCTCTCTCACACTTCCCCACATGTATCCTGAGAACCTCTTGCCAGCCCCAGATGGTCTACATACTACTTCTTGCCTCTAGATCTTGGTCCATATTGTTTCTTACGCCCCAGGTGCCTTCTGCCCTTACCCCTAACTTGTCCATCTGATAAACTTGTATTCATCCTTTAGGACTCTAAATGTTAAATGTTATACTCTCTGTGGGAAGCCTTTCCTGATTTCGCAGGGAAAATTAGTCCTCCCTTCTCCAGGCCCTACAGTACCTTACATATCAGCTCAGGGCTAGAGTAAATATCATAGTGCTTTGTTCACATCTGGTGTCGGCTGGGGACAGTCTCTAAACACACATACATAATGTGAAATAAACCATCTTAAGGATTTTTAAGTGTAGAGTTTATAGTGTTAAGTACATTCACATTATTGTGCTACAAACACCACCATCCCTCCACAGAACTCTTTTCATCTTGTAAAACTTAAAGTCTGTACCCGTTAAATTCCAGTTCTCCATTCCCCCTCCCTCAGCCTCTAGCAATCACTATACAGTCTGTCTCTGTGAATTTGACTATTTTTCCATCCCCTTTTTTTAAGTTCAAGTTTAGTTGATTTACAATGTTATGTTACTTTCTGGTGTACATTATATTCCCCAGATCTAGCACTTCGCCTTGTACAACATAATGCTCATTAATAAGTGTTGAGAGAGTACATGAAATCTTTTCTCTAAGACGCATGGAGAAATACATCTCTTAAATTTATTTGTACCTGCCTTTGCGATAAATAGATCTCTTAGATCTTAAACTGGAAATGCTGGGGCTTCCAGACTCTTCCAGTGTTCAGGTTTCCCAAAAGCAGAAGTTGTCCAAACAAGTTCTCATTAGGAGGGAATTTTACCTTCCTTACTTGGAAATGCCTAAAGTTTTCATTGCAGTTGGGTTGTAGACATGCTGTCCCCAAATCAGCTGGGAGGAGTCCTGAGGCACAGTGACAGAATGAATATTGATGAGCAGCCAGAACCATCTGCATTTCAAAACTTGGCTTCACACACACACGCACACACACACTATACATATATATATATAGTGTGTGTGTGCGTGTGTGTGTATATATCTATTGCTGTCAAAATTTTAGCACATGTATTTCCCTTAATTCTTCCCATTTGGGCAGAGGTTTCTGCCATAATTACAGCTCACCTAGCAACGGAGGCAGCTGTATTCATTTTATCCTTTCACCTTCTTACAGATGCATTTTTGGAGCCTGTAACTTTCTCTGTGTTCAGAGTCTTACTCCAATACACATGTTTAAGAACATATTTTAAAAATATTTTGGGAAAAGATGCAGTCTTAATTTGTGGATCAAAAATGACTTTGACCCTGTCCTCTTGCTGGAAGATAAAAACCTAGTTGTTGATAGTTAAGAAGATTTTAAGAAGTGCAGTAGGTCACGTCCAAATCCTGTCACCCTTGCTCTTGGCATAGATTTTTCATGGGCATAGTCATCACAGTGATGCCTTCTTTTGAAACCATGACATCTCTCTTACTGTCTCCTACCCAGTTTTTTTTCCCTAAAATCCTGCACAGCTGCATCCTGGCTGCTCATTAGAGTCACCTAGAGAGCATAAAAATAAATTTTTGAAAAAAATCTTCTTAAGCCTGAGTCCCAACCGCTTAGATTCTGGTTAGATTCTGTGAGGTGGGCACTCCAGCATTTTAAAAGTTCTCCAGGGATTGCAATGTGCAGCAAGGGTGGAGAATCACTACATTAGAATGATGGTGTTGCTC